TGAATCAATTTGACTGTATGATCTGGTTGAACTGCAAAGTGCCTTGTGATGACTTCTGTTGTGAATTGGCGCTATATAAATAAACTGAATTGAATGGAAGAGAAAACTGGAGTTAACACTAGGACTCCCAGAATACTGATCCTACTAGAACTACCACAGTTACTCAAATTGACCGGTGGCATTTTTCCCAATGGGATGCAAGGGTAGTGATGATGTCATTGACTGAAATGGTTCTAGTTTGCCATATAAACCCATTGTGGATATGTAGACCTTAAAACAGGCATTTTTTAAAGGTTGTTGTATATGCTATTACTATTTATAGTTTAAATTGTGATCAAAAATAAATCTTTAAAATATATAAGTCTATTTTATTACACAGGTTTGAAGGCTGAAATTATATTTACAAATATATTTACAGTAATTGATTGATCCCGCTGCACATTTCCTGCACAACACCATTTCACATTTATGACAAACATTATTCGAGCGGTTTTTCATAACAATATTTATGTTTTAGGTTTTTATTTTATTAAATTAATGTTAGAATAAAGAAATGTAGAGACAGAAAAAGCCATTTGAAAAAGCAAACATGACAAACATAAGATTAATATAAATAAATTTCTTTTACATCAAAAATATCTAAGCATCAAAATGACTGCCTTGGGAGTTATAGTGTTAAATGTTTAATGGCCTGCACTGTATATATAGCATTTTTTAAAGTCAGGACTTGACCCTAGCACTTTACATTCAGTCATTCCCCCATTCACACACACAGACACACACACACACATCCTGGAGCCCAGGTAGTTTTTCCATTATCTTCATTTCACTGAAGGCCCGCTTACCTCCAGCCAGTCACAGGTAGAGATAGGAAAATATGAAGCAAGTTCTTCATTTCCAATAAGAATGTTTGTGTGCATGGTTTTTTCATGCCTTTGAAATCTTTCATAAAGCTTTCTGCATTTTATGTTGAATATTTAAATTCTATTGAATTTAATGCACTAGTTGATCTTTTCTCTACTCCATAGGAGAACTGCAGTCACAGCAGGCTAAATATGGCCTTTTTTGATATTCTGTATATCAGCCTGTCCCAAAAATGTTATCCCGTCCATTGTGGGAGGTAGGATAGGTTAGATACTTTGGGAATTCTCTGCCCACTGAATATGCTGGCAGTTAATTTGCCAACTCTGTGAAAGACTTATCTCTGTGTGTTGCCATTAAAAGCACAACATTCACTTGATCTGAATCAGTCATCCTGCGCTGTGGCTACGCTGTAATCCATGAGGATCATGGCATGATCCGTCTCTGAGCCACTATGCCTGTATTTTTAATGGTCAGCATGTCAATTTTGTCCCCCCCGTCCTGGGCCTAGGACAATTGACCAGTGTGTCCCCGCCCCCTGTTGGCGGGCGTGCTGTTGGATGACAAACACCAACAGTACCTAGTGTCTCTAATGAATGGGCAGCATGATTTTATTTTTGTTTTCACACAACTTTGCATACACACTTAGCTGATACTGCTTCAAATTATCTTTCACCATCAATTCAAATAAAACCACAGTAACATATATAATCATTAGCCTTGAGAACTAAAGTCTACCAAACTGCACCACATTAAAAGCACTGTAAGAAAGTAACTCCAGCTGTATGCCTTAGAAAAAAAAGAGATATCTTTAGATAACAACGGACAAAATATCTGTTGTTATCAATGAATTGGGTCCATTAAATATTACTGCTGAGTGAGATCAGTGGGACCCAATTTGTAACAAATGCACTACATTATTTTATGCACAAGTGACATTAATTTCGCATGACACTGAAATCACTGAAGTATTGGATTAGGTGGGTATCTGAACAGAGCAAAAAATTTGATAGGAACATATTTAACCATTACTGCATATGCTCTGATTACAATCAGAGCTGAATATTAAAATTTTAATATGCTGCAATCCAAAGAACCCAAGCAAAGGTTCCTTACCATAGAGCCTGTAAACTGCTCTGGCAATCTCCAGTAGTATGGCTCAGACAAAGCCCCTGCAACCAGTTCTGCATGAACAAGGATCTCAGGGTGCTGGAAGCTAACTCCTGTCCTCTTCTCCACAGTATTGGATTTATCCACCAGGGGGAGCACAGTCTGCTCTGGCCTCAGTGTCAACTGTAGTACAAGAAAATAAAACAGTATAGTCATGAATAGCGATATATTTCAAGTTTTATATTACAGCTGTAAACTTAATATATTGTTCCATTTGTAAAAGAACACAGGATGTATTGAGTAAAATATAATTTAAAATCATGTAAAATGACTTCAACAATGTCCTAAAAAAACAAGAAAACACACAAAACAGTTCTGAGTGAAATATTCATTTGCTTCATTTTTCTTCATTTAAACTGAAAAGAAATGTTCCTGAAAAGGGCTAAGATTCTACAACCATTGAACAGGAAGGATGACTAATTTGAGTCACTACAAAAAGTCTCAACTGAGCTCCTACCGGTTTTAAAAATATAAAAAAGGTAATGAGTTGAGAACTGAGAGCCATGGTGCTGTAATCCTTTTTCCCTTCAAAAATGTCTTTTTAAAACAAATTTCTGAAAACTGAACACCATGTTGTATGTCATACTCCTCTTTCTCCACTTTTACAGCTCATTTCATGTCAAAATACTTTCAAAATTAGTGCCATTACTAGAAAAAAAATAACACAAGTGGCGGCAAAGTGGTTAGGGGATAGAGCTTGGAATCCTGAGGTTCAGAGTTTGAGCCCCACTCCCACAGACTGCCACTCTGTGTCCCTGAGCAAGACCCTTAACCCCAGACTGCTCCCAGGGTGCCCCACGATTGCAGCCCACTGCTCCCTAAGGGGTGGGTTAAATATAGAGGTAAAATTCTCCCAAGTGAGATCAATAAAGTTAAATTATTTTTATCATTAAAAAAAATAAACACCATCAATGCCACTTTACATAAAAATGAACTTGGCAGTTCCCAAAAGGAGGAAACATTTAAAGAGCTGTTTAAATTATGTATAACAGGTGTATTTATTACTGAGATATAATTTTTCTTTTTTTTTTTTTAAAGAACTAAATGGTAAAAAGCCATGATTATGGTTCCATATGAAATAAAAACTAGGGCCAAGTGTCAGAGAAGGTAATTTTCTGAAATAGTAGGTGTTTGTTGGGGGGCATAACAAGCATCCATTAAAACACTGTACTTCGATAAAAAAAAAAAAATAAAAAAAAAAAAGACTGAAAGAAACATTACTTACTGAGAAAGAACAACATACTTTTTAAAGTTTCTCCGACAATAGACTTTGACCTCCAGGAATAGTTAAAGCAAGGCAAAAACATCTAATTTCTTTGTGGGTATAAGTGAAATGTACAGCGTCGGCTTCCTTTCTTGTCGTTTGATATACAGGCATCATTTCAGCTATTTTCACAGAGGAGAAGAGATAAAAGAAAAACCTTTTCTTTTGAATTTCATATGTTGCAGTTCAATATTGCTTGAATATAATCAGAGCTTGATATTGGCTGTGGGTTGTGGTTGAGTGGACGAAAATAGACCCATCTTACCAAGCCTCTGATGCCATCTCTCTGCTCGTGTAACCGTATGATTAAGATAAGAAAAAACAGAAAAAAAAAAAAAAAAANATATTGCTTGAATATAATCAGAGCTTGATATTGGCTGTGGGTTGTGGTTGAGTGGACGAAAATAGACCCATCTTACCAAGCCTCTGATGCCATCTGTCTGCTCGCCTAACCGTATGATTAAGCAAAGAAAAAACAGAAAAAAAAAAAAAAAAAAAAAAAAAAAAAAGACCAAAACCTGCTTAAAGCAGAACAAACAAAGTAAACATCAGGACATGCAGTGTCTTGTAAAACTATAAAAATTGAACTTTATTTATCTTACACTGTATGTTGCAGGCCAAAAGTGTAATGTATCTAATGTGTGATTATATTGGATAGCCCGACACAAGGAAACAGCTAATTGGTAGATATAAAATTCTGTTATGCTTCTCAAAATGTACATAAATTAACTAAATACATAAAGACAACAGATCACTCTTCAAATCGGTCTGGGGTTTCATTGCTGCATTTAAATGGGAAATGTATTAAAATGACTCCCCTCTACTATATTATGTATAAAACCAGGACCCCAAAGATGCAATGATATTTGCTATCATTCCAGGCACATATTAACCATAACATTTTCTCATTTTGATTAAAACATTGACATCTTTATAAGTTCCGAGTACAACAATCCTGCAGCAGATTATCCTCTCTTACCAGTTGACAGTTACAGAATGTAGAATCATTGCTTTAATTATTATTTTTTTAAGTTAAAGCTGCTTTTGTCGAATATACATTTTTGAATGGAGATCATCTCTTTTAACCCTACTACTATAAATACATAGACTGGCTTTTTTTTTTTTTATGTTCCTGTTTGTGCAATTACTTTATGTAATATGTGAAAAACTTTAGAGGATCTTTCCATTGAATCTCAGAGACAGGTCTTCCATTTTATTGGGGTTAAATGAGGTGCCTTAAAAAAACCACTGAGACCATCTAGTACAGTGTGTGTTGGCGGCATATTTGCTGCCTTTGCTGATGTGATATTGACATTTTTTGGTTGGCGAGCCAGAGGCACATCAGAAGGAGGAGTGTTTGTCCGGGAACCTCTGACAACAATATGCCATCTGTAGAGCTGATTGATCGCTGGTTCCAATTATTAGGCTTTTTTTTTTTTTTTGTCTACTATATCTGTTTTATTCCTGTCATCCTAAAGAAAAAAAAGACTGTTTTCCATTTCAGTGTTGAGGAGTTTGACGTTGCTGTCCCACATTGCACAGAGGAAGAAAGACCATCCACAGCTTATAGTTTGAGCACCTGCAGTAAGACAAGGCTGTGGATGACCAACTGAAGAATGACCCCTGTAAAGCCCCTGTCACACCTTATCGATTTAGACAGGGTATGCCTGACATCCCAGAATCTCCTAAAACGTTGACATACACTGAACTTTGTGTGTATTTTTTCTTTATTTTATTTATTTCCAACGACAGCTTAACCTTTTTATGCCCGGTCTGCATAGAAAGATGTCTTTGATCGCGGTATTAACCTGGCTGCTGTTTACCGCCTGCCCAAAAAAAAAAGGAGAAAAAGACAGAAAGAAGCTTTGCAGTCGCAGCAGATTCAGCATCATGTCTACTAGGAAGATGGTTGGTCGTAGTCGTGAGCGTGAACGCAAGGAGGATCCTTCACACCTTCTCACTCACCCCATGATGGGGATGCAGTCTGGAGGAGAACTGAAGGTTTCCTCCTGTGAACCTCCTTTTATACCAAAACGCTGCCAATACGCCATTAAATAGTAGCTTTAAGTTAGAAACAAGTTCAGCCATTGTCTTGAACAGAGTTACAACACTACAAAATGTATTATTTCCTGCGCTTTTCCGCTAGATAATTGACCATGCAATGGAGAAAAACAAATTCACATCAGGTTTACATTATTAATGATGAAATATACATAATTGATTTAATTATTGGACTGAATGAAAATAGGACTTAAAAAAAGCCCTAATTCATTCTTCATGTCCTGAGCTGCATTTAGTGGTGCTACTCCAGTTACTATATTGTTAATCTGAGATTGTCAGTCTAGATGCACAGCCATCTCTTAGTAAGTTTATATTTATTCCACACCCCTTTCATTTTCAGATGAAGTACTAAATTGCACCCAAAGTTATTGACACCTGCTTTACAGTACATCTATCCCTCAACCCATTATTCGTTCCTTATAATGCTGTCTAATTACCAACGTTCACTAACAAATGGTCGTATTTATGCTGAATTTATTACAGTAAACAAAATCTTGGGTAAAAATATTAGTGATTTCCTTAACCAGTTCTGTTACATTTCATTAACGTTCGACAGCTGAAATATAAATACACACACCGACAAGCACATGTTCTTCATCATGCATTTTCAATGTACAAAATAAACCACGCTTAATGAATACGCCTTTTAATAAAGCCAATTCAGTAATTTGTTATGCTGGTCAAGAGTTCAATATTTTATTTGTAAAGTATTCTACTACACATACGTTTGTATTCATTAAACACCATGCGTTCCTGTGTAGTGCGAGTTTCAGTGTAAATGTGACTTTTGTAAATGTGTATAGAAAGTCATAATGTGTGAGAGCACTTGTATTTCCCACTTCACTTAGTGTAATCTCACGATTCAGTGGTTCAGAGAAAATCTCTCTTTCCAATAAACTTCCCAATTTTTATGTATTTTTCTGCCAGTTTTCTCTCCCTGAATCCTGCTCTTGACAACTTTAAATGAACGCTTGTTGATGAAATGAAGCTTCCCTTTTCTAAAACATTCAGCACAAAAACTGCAACATATTACTGAAGAAAAATAATTCTGTAATGTGTTTTGTGCTTTAAAAATATACCTGTCTGCATCAAATGTGTATTTATTGTACTGTAACTATGCCAATTGCACATAAACTCTTTCACATATTTAAGGTAAAATGTAATTTTCATTCTGTGCCACTTAAGATTATACAACAGCAAAAATGTAACTTCCTATCAAAAGAAAAAACTTCAAACTTCATTTTGTTGAGTTTGCAAAATTGAAGGTTTCATTAATGTACATTAGTATAGCAATTTATGTAAAAAAAATAAAATAAAATAACATAGGCAGTCTAGATTCCTTAAGAAATGTATGTACCCATTTGGAAAAGAAAAATTTCCATATGCTGCCACAGATCCAGTGAAACAAATAAAAATCATGTATTTTTACCCATTTGAGTATGGCACCTTACTGTGCTACGTAGGTGGTGTACTAACAAACCTTTCTTACAACTATAAACATGCATCATCAGAATCTTAAAAAGAAAAAAATTCTAATAAAAATGTCAAAGAGTTGCTTAGCTTTGCTCATATTAATCAAAACTTACAAGTTAAACATTTAATACTCACCAACATCCTTATGAGTCCTCGTGCCTCCGTGCATGAGCGTGTTAGTCCATAACAGTAGCACTTGCTGCAGCCAAGAGGATTTTTTTCAGATAGTCCAAATGTATCTGACTTACATTGATCACAATTGTGTCCTTCCACATTTTCCTAAAGAGAAACAAAGAAACCGATAGATTTCATTTGTTATTTTTTTTAATAATTTTGAGGTTCTTCTCTCCTATATCCTTATTAAAGGATAGTTTTATTATGTTTAAACTTTTACCCAGTAAAAAGTTAAAATTAGATGTTAAAAACTTTGCATTTACAAAATCTTATTTTACGCTCTGGGTATTCAGAATTCCACATTAAAGATAGTATATATGGTAGGTCATAAGGTCATTTGAAACTTTTTCAGCATCATCTCAAGACATCAGCCAGGAAGTAAGAGCTACGGGACACTTCCTGTCCCCAGGGATACTGAAAAACATCAGTCAGTGTTTTAATTGTCCATCACAAAGCTCTGATCTAGGTGTCACAGGAAATTTACAGGCTGATCCAAGAAGGGTTTGGGCAAAAATCCCAGCAAACTTTTCAAGAAAACCTTATTATTGTAAATTCTAAACCAGACCCTTGCCTTACATTTGAAAATTAGTTTTAACAAGAAATTCACAAAAAATAACCATTTTCTCTTTTTAAAAGATTCATCCACACCTGAACAAAAACTGTACTCCTGGCTAGCCGAAAATAGCAATGAACAAGTCTTTTTATACAGTGTAAATTATTTTTTTCCCCAATAAAATTGTGGCATTTTAGAGGTTTCTCAAAATAAAAAAGAGCAGATGTATTAATATAAAAACTGTTTCAAAAAGGAGTAGAAATGATAAAATTCAATTGCGCTTAATTTATGACGAATTTTAAACAACCAACATTAAAAAAAAACAAATTGACGGAGAGACAAGTGACAGATGAGTGACAAGCAGTCAGACTCATGTCTTTTATGAAAGAAGATAACACAAACTACCTGATATCTCATTAAATTTTATCAATCAGTTGTCATTAATACAGAGAAGAGGAACCTGTGGTGTATGAGATTGTCATCTGTCTGATAAAATCTCTCTATCACCTGAACATGCCTTGAATTAATCAGAAATAGAAGCTTGTCACAGAAAGTGATGATTAATTAATGACTCTGGATCTTATCTGTCTATGTAGTTTGTGAATATATGCTTCACGTCTATTGAAAGGTTTTGAGGCAAGAAAGAGCAACATCAATGAAAAAGAAAAAAAACGTTTGTTTTTAGTTTTTCTTATTTGAACCATACCTGTATTATCAGGGACACGTGTTATTTTTACAAAAATGAAAAATTGATCACATAAAACCTCACAAACTTCACCTTTTGAACAATGCCAAATAATTTGTCTTTGCTTCAAAAAGGATAAACTCAAACAACAGAAGAATCAGAATGATTGCAAACGGATAAAAAAAAACAAGAAATGACCCACACAAACAAAGATGAACCATGTAGTTTTACCTTGCAGCTACATTTTCCTGTTCGGTCCGCACAGGCACATACTCCTTTCTCCCGGTCGCAGGTCTCGCAGTCCGAACCTGCAACACTGCACTCACACGGAATACACTGTAAAATGTGAATACAAACAATGCAAGGTTAAAATAACATATGCTCTGCACGGATTTTTACTAGCTATAGGCCGGCATTAGGGTTTTAATTAATTAAACATCATCTAAGCAGATGAGTTATCTTTAAGCTGTAGTGGAGGATGTTCTTTTTCCGGGTGGATCATCTAAATCCAAAAAAACTGTCAATCATTCTGGTGATACGTTTACGTAAGGCCGTCCAACATTCTCGTCCCCGTTTTCACTTACTGGTGGTGTGCCTGACGTACAATCTTCTTTTGTAAAGTAAGTTTGTATGAGCAATGCAAACAACTTTTCAAAAAGAGTGAGCACAAGGAGTAATGGGATCGTGCATTCTCTCTTGCACGCATTTAATAGACAGTCCCTCCCAGGAACGGGTACAGGGGTGTGCATGTGCATTTTTCTTTTTTTTTCAAAAGTGTAGAGGGTAGGTCTTTTTCAAAAATTCACAAAAATCCTTCACTATACCTTAAATGTTTTTTTTTATTCATTTATTTGTAAAAACGAAAAAAAGTTTACTAGTAAGTAACTCCTCCACATTCAATTTATTTTTTTGTCATATAGACTTTTGTAAAATTCATACTGATATTCTACAAAAGTTATGTTGCCAAAAATTGGTAGTCAAACTACCCAAGTGACTAAAGATTAAACCTCATAGTTTGTGGTTTACCAACATAGAAAAAAAAAAAAAAGAAAAAGACAGAAACATGTAGTTGACACAGAGGCTGTACTGCATAAAACATCTTTAATTTTGACCTTTTACCTGAGGGAAGTCTCTGTACCCGATTTGACATTCATCACATTTCTCTCCTCTGAAGGAAGCGCGACATTTGCAGCAGCCTGTGTTCACGTTGCACTGCTGGGTCTCTGAGCCGATCCCATTGCAGCCACACTCCTTTTTCCCACAAACACAAACATGAGTGCAAGTTACCTTTTTTTTTTTCATAAACATTATAAAAATTCTACAGCAGTGAAATATAGTTTAAGTTTCTTTTAAGCATTTTATGGTTTTGGATTATTTTTCAGCATTGGGGTGAGTAGAAAATGAAGGCTAATCATGTTTTGGGTGTACTATTCCTTTAATAATAGGTCTTGGCATGAGTAAATTAGGTATTTATAAAGTAAAAAAAAAAAAATTCTATCTAGCAAATACAATCTCATTTATTGCATAAAATAGAGATTTTTAAACTTATCAATAACCGTAAACCTTAAAGCCATGTATCTTCCTTTAATGCTTATACTGAGTTGTAGAAATAGAAAAGTCAAGCTTTAAAAGGAATATTTCTGATTGGAATGTTTTTAATAATTTATTAATAAAATGCGGTGGGTCCTTATAAATCCTGTATAAAACCCTAAAACCCTCTTTTGCCAGAACTACTGTACAGGTTTATTATCAAACCTACTTTAAGGTATATAATTTTAAGAAAAAAATTACTATTTTAATTTTATTTTATTTTTTATTTAACCTTTAACCTCTTTTTCAAGAGAGACCTGGCCAAGGTAGCAGCCAAACCACAGGAAGTTCATACATATTTACAACATATTACATTTTTCATAATAAAAAATTTGAAAAAAATAAATAAAATAAAACAATAAAATCAGAGCAGTATGTTAAAAAACATAGAACATCTCAAGAAAAACAAGCACATATCTCCATCACTACATTCTTCATGGTTGCTTTAATTTCATTAATGGACACGAGAGTTTCTAATTTGAGCTCTTTCTGGAGGTTATTCCATCCCAAAGGTGCAGAGTAGGAGAATGCAGTTTTTCCCAACTCAGTTGAAACTCGGGGTACATTAAAAAGTAACCACTGAGAGGAGCGCAACTGATAACTACCAGAACTCACAGAGAGGAGGTTACAGAGGTACAGTGGGAGTTTACCAAGTATTGCTTTATAGATAAAGTTATACCAGTGCTGTTTTTTCGGATTTTTTGTTGTTTTCCACCCACTTGGTTCTTAAGGATTGCGTTGTTGGTTAGGGGCTTTGGATTTTTTATTGTCTTGTTGTTGTGTGTTGTACTGTGTGTCTATGTGACGCGATGTGGGGTGTGGCGTGTGTGTGTACTATATCTCTCTATTCTCTCTCAGAAAAAAAGTAGCTTCTACAAGTTTCTTCTTAGCACTGAAGGTAAAACAAGATTTGTTTCTGAAGTAAAAACCAAGCTTTACTTTAAGCCTCTTCACTAATGTATTGATATGTACTTTAAAAGAAAGCTTATCATCTATCCATATTCCCAAGTACTTGTATGAAGACACTCTCTCTAAAGCATAATAAAAGCTGTATCACAAAAATGTAAAGCCCCTATAGAATGCAGGTTTGTTTTGATTACTGCCTTGCACACTGTAAACATTATTTTGAAGAGCTTCATGAGGTACTCCCCTTAAAATGTAAATACAGTACATTTGAACCAAATCTTATTTATGTACTAGCTTACATTGTCTTCCTCATAAAGGGGTTTAGCCCTAACTTACCATTTTGATTAATAAACTGTCTCACCTTACATCCAGTTGTGATATCATGGCCCCAGTGGTTGGGTGCACAGCGGTCACACCTCTCACCAATTGTGTTGGGAGGGCAGATGCACTGTCCAGTATTCGCATCACAGTTGTTTCCCACATGACTGCACTGGCAGGCTGTGAGATAGGAAAATAACAAAAGCAAACCCACTGAGTACAATAAAACAAAAAGACTGTAGATGGCACAATAAGTATTTTTAAATATACCATAACCAAGGTATTCAAAATACAATATCATTAGATTCATTACATCCAATTCTACAAACTCAGTATAGCTTACAAGATCATTAAAGCTAACGGTCACACACTGATTGGGTGAGTGGAAACAGCTGTGATGATTAACAAAAAGAAACAGGTGTAATGATTTGAATGCTGGGGCAAGAAGATAGGCTCTGGAGGATGTTTGATGAACAAAACTGAAATAATTGACAAAAAATGTTAAAGAATGAAATAAAATAAAAAATCTCATTGTAAAATATATATTATAATAATACTTATTGATCCCAAAAAATTACATTTAGTATCTTGTCTAACCTTTTTTGGCAAAATTTCTGGTCCAATTGCATCTTCCCATTTTACCATTAAGACAATATAGAGAAAAAAAAAAACAAAAACAATAAAGAATTATTTTTACACTATAACAGACATTACTATTGACTGAGCTTTTTGCAGCAAATATTCTTCCAACCTCAGACTGGTAACCTTTGGTTAAATTAAAAGATTTTCCCCAGAATAATTAGCTTTGTAATTTCAACGTTACTGTACCGTATTTAAACCAAAGAAAAAAACGCACTCTATTAATTTTATTCAAAATCACTTTTAAAACTTAACAGATGCTGCCCAATTTCCAACAGTGACTGATACATTTTATATTTAATTTTTTAAACACAACTGAGAAAAGTTCCAAGTATTATATATCTCTAAAAGGAGCAGGATCTTACATTTGATATCTTCTCTCCAAAGTTACTATATACAAACTGAATATTGTAAAGGGGAGTATTTTTAGAGCAACTTCATTAGAAACATGTATGCTTGTACAGAATTGGTTGAGAGCAATTGCAGTGCTCCTCTTTTTTTTCATTCAATTTTTTCTTTAATTTGATTTACAGTGCCATAAAATTTATTTTGGTAGTACAGGTAAATGCTTCAGGGAAATTTCTGTACCAAACAGATAAAAATTAGAATATCAAGAATTCTAATATGCAAATGTATCTTTATAGCACTTATAATTTTAACATTTGATATTAAGATAAAGCTGTCATGTTTGTTCAAAACTAAAATAGTATTTTCGGATAAATGGTTGCTTGGTGTTATTATTGTGCCTTGCTTGTGTTGTTTTAAGTATAAGAACAAATAATGGCAAACTTCTCTTCATATGAAAGTCATGCATCAGGAAAAATGTGCATATTAAATATTAGTCCTGCGTTGTGCAGTATACAGGGGGGTAACGAGGAGCAATTGGCCTCTCACGACCACCTCCTGATCCAGAATCGTAAAGTCGGTTGATAACCAAACATATACTGTATAAAATTCAGTCGCCCTAGTAAGGTGTCCATCTCTGGACGTGTGGTTTTACAACTTACAGCATGAGCAGTTAGATCGGATCAGAGTGTTGGGCTGTACAGTGTAATAACATACATAGTGTGTAGTGAACTTTTAAACTATGCAGTTGTCATAAAGTTTGAGCTGTAGCTCAGCTGTACAGTGTATGCCCACCTATAGTAATCCAATAAACTGCAGATCAGACTAAGGCTACATTCACACTACAGGCCTTGATGCTTAATTCCGATTTTTTTGTGAAATTCGATTTTCTTGCGTTGCCGTTTATATTTCCAAATATATGCGACTTGTATGTGATCACCTGTGTGAACTGCAGTCATACAACGCAAGTGTCCCGCATGCGCAGTAGAGGACGCAATGACTTCACAGGCCAGTGTGCTCTATGTTTCCGGAAGTAAAAATGGATGGTAGTGCCGGCGTGCATCTAGCGGTCTTTTCTATATGGTTAAACATAAATACTGCTCTCCGCATCATCATCTGCCATGGTTGTTGTTTTTCTTGCCGCTTCTGCGTAGCAAGATGCAGAATAGTGTCCTTTGTCGGGTATTTATGACGTTCAGATCAGATGAATCCGACTTGGCCGTTCAGACACAGGTCGCATTTGAAAAGATCAGATTCGTATCGGATTCAGGACCACATAGCCAAGTGTCCGGGGTTGGATTGGAAAAAAATCGGATCTGTGTTGTTCAGACAGCCATTAAAAGATCAGATCCAGGTCGCATATGAGCCAAAAAATCGGATTTGGGTCACTTCATGCTGCAACGTGAACGTAGCCTTAGCGTGCATCATGTAAACACAACAACCAACCAAACAACCAAACAAAATATTCTGATTAAATTCAGCATGAAACTCTAATCTAACTGGTTTATGCTGATTGACTCCTTATGAGGCAACCTGACAGACTGTCGATGTGACAAAACTTCTGCTTTGAGCAGTTATATGCTATGCCGGAATTTTCCTATTGGCATGCTGATATATGTGATTGATATAGTTAATGTAAATGGTAAAATCAGATTTTTCTGTTGTTTTGGAGTCCGATTAATGTTTTAAAAATTTTATAGTTTGTGCATGTAAAAATAGCTACTTCTTCGTCTTTTAATGCAAAAGCACTTTCTTTTTAGAAGAAGACTTAAGCTCTCATCTTACGTGTGCAGCCGCCCTCCTGGAAGTTGAAGAATCCTCTTGAGCATCTGTCACATTTGGGTCCAGTGACACCTGGCTGACAACGACACTGACCCATTTCATCACAGTCGAAAGACTTTGAGCCGAATGAGTTGCAGTGACATGGAACACACACTCCACCTGTGGTGACACCATGAGTCTGAGCCTGAAAAAACAAACAAAGCAGCACATGTTAAGATGGTTAAAAGTAAAAGGCACAAACTTAGCAAAAAGTCACAAAAACTCTTTGTAAAAAGAAATTCGGTTGCTGTTATTTAATGGGGAAAACGTCTTTAAAAACCAAGTAAATTGAGACATTTTTATGTATCTCTATATGCGTGTCTCTTTAAATTTTAGTAGCTCTTGCATTAAAACGCTAAAGCTTACTGTTTTTTTATTGTTCAAGAAACCACACAACATGCAGGATGCTATTTGGAGTATAAAATGTTAGACAGCATGCATTATCTTCTACACGCTGTTTTATTAAAAACAAACATAAATACCCAGAAAGACAATTATTGTTTTATCACAACTGATATTAGTCTTCACCTTTATTCCTTTACAAAAAAAAGACAACAAATCATTTTCCCACATAAGCTGAAAACCAAAACACCCATGCTGCTGCAAACACAACCACTGCCATCCACATGCAGGGTGTGTTACCCCTGTCTGAGGTCTGTAAGCTCCCCTGGGACAACCCCCTGATGTGCGGGAGGTCCCCCCCCACCTCTGCTGCACAGCTTCAATGGGAAGACTCTCAATAGGCCGCCGCGTCTCCCGCCTCTCGTAACCTAGGCGACGAAGGTTACAGCGTCGGCCGACAAAGCCAGGTCGGCAAATGCAGCGGCCCTCTGTGTCACAGCGCTGAGACGTGGAGCCGTAAGGACTGCAGCGGCAGGGCATACATTCCTGGAGCTCAACGTCCCACCACCAGTTAGCCTGGACCAGTCACAATCCAGATGGATAGATGGGAGGCAAAGGGTTGATAAGAATAAGTGAGGAGTGAAAATAAAATTAGGAAAATGCAGATGAGGAAAAATGCTACTGAAGCATCTCCAGTGTTATTTGTTTGTGGCTGTTGAAATAAATAGTTAGATTATAGTAAAAGTTTGCATAGACAACAGCAAGGCTTTAATATAAAACAACTTCTGTCTCATTATTCAATGTTTTGAAGCTTAAAAAAGTCAAAGGAAGGACAGTGTTTAGTCTTTAGCCCTTTTGATATTTCCCAAATAGATTTTTAGATAGCTTTCAAGAATAAAGTAGGAAAAATTAATAACATGGCAGTGAGGAAAATAAATGATTAAACATCTTAAGAAGCTCAGACTTTAAAGATAAAACGATAAACGATCCAATGGTAACAGACAATTTTTTATTTGGTCTAAACCAGTGATGCTAAATCTCTACCAGGTAATGTAACGGCATTGACCAAAATTCACAATTAAAATTCACAATTGGTCACAATTAGCAAGCTTTTAGAAGAACCAAAGGTATGCAGACAGTAATTCCAAGGAAAAAAGAAGCATGTCCCGAAACAGATAACAGGGCCGCTGACGAAGAGAAGCAAAGTTGATGAAGATATATATTTTTTTGTCATTTATTTTACAGTACATCTGAACATGGTTGATTTAAAAATAAAAGCCACCTTTTAGAAACCTCCAAAAGAGTAAAAGCAAGGAACACATTTGGCTGTTTTAGTGAGTGGCTGCTCTTATAGTTTTACCGCTGCTGTCATTTTCTGTTTAGAACTAACACAATGTTTGGAAATTTTCTCTCTCTCTCACACACACACACCCACACACACCTTTGTTTTCATTACATATGGGAGCATTTCATAGACTTGCATTCCTTTTATGCGGCCTAATCCAGACCCTTACCCTATGTACTTGTAAGTCCTTGCATGTAGGATATTTTACAAAATACTTCTTCAACATTGTAGGTAACACAAGACCACACACACACACACATCCTTATTTTGCTATATGTAGTGAGGACAATGTGTTGAATCTCATTGACCTCCATTTATTGTCAGTCATTTGCAAACCGTTCTATGCCCTAACCCTAAAAATATTGTAAGTCTAAACCTAAGCCAATTGACATCATGTCCTCACTTTACAACTGGTTGTTGAAAAATGGTCCTCACTCTAATGCCTAGACAGGTACACAGTTCCCCATAATATTGCATATTCCTGAGAAATTGTAGCCACAAGTCAACAAATACATGGCAGAAACTGCCCCCCCCCTCCATACACAAACCCAGACACAGGTAGAGCTCGTTTCTAAGTAGGACTGGTTATTTAAACCAGTAATGCAAAAAAAATAACATAATGAATGCTTTTCTCTAATGCTGTTTTTTTTCACTTTGTGGTCAAATCACACCATTTGTATCAACTTGATACATAGAACCCTGATCAGTCCAACAGCGACCATAAATAACAGCAGTCCTTACCTTACACTTATCGCACTGAAGTCCGACTACATTTTCTCTGCACTGGCATTGACCAGTTTCCTTGTCACAAACTTCTGATAGAGAACCATTGGTGTGGCAGTGGCAGGCTGCAAAAGGAGGAAAAAGAAACACTTGAGAAGGAACATTTCACTATAGATATTATTTCTGGGTTGATCCGACTTTGAAGCCTTATGGACAAGGATATAAAGACGCCCCACAGTGTTAGACTGGATGTCCTACTGTATTTACAAGAAAAGTGTTTAAGTGTTTTTTTTAATCAAATTTTTGTTATGTAAATAGTTAAATTGAAAACACGATTCCGATGGGACTCATGCCACATTAGTGCAGAAAAAAGGTGTGCATCAGGTAAATGGTCTGTACTTATTCTGTATACAGTAGCATTTTTTTTCCCAAGTCAGAGAACTTGACCAAAGCATTTGACACTACATTCAGTCATTCACCCATTCGCTCACAGAATTCAACTGTCTTAATCACAGTAGTTGGAATAAGTTGTGTTAATGTTAGGTACAGTAACAGTCTTAAGGAGCTGTTTTTGATACCAGTTTTTTAATATTGTCAACAGCCAAAATATTAAATTCATAAGTTCACACATACCAAATATTTTCAGCTTAATTGCTTAAAAGTAACTTAAAAATTCTTTCATTGCAAAGAGACAAAAAAGGCAACAATCACATCACAACACATATGTTCAAGCAGATTAACAGTTACTGTATGCAAAGTTTTCCAAATACTGCTAAGAAAAGGCTTCTTTGTTGAAAAAGATGCAGCATTTAAGGCATTAAAAGAACAATGAGCACTTAAACACTGTGTTCATCTGCCACATGGTTTATTACTAAATGTTAAGCATTAAAAATAGCTGCAGAACATGGGAGAAAGTCACATTTTATACAATAACAAGGCTTACATTGCAGGGACTCACAGCACAGAGTCCAGATGGTCTCTAAAAGGTTGCAGTAGAGGGGTGTGAAAATGTAAGAGATAAGCAAATACCTGCAGTTTTCTTTTTGTTTTAATATGTTTGTGTTTATACATCCCGAAATGTGGGTCCAAAGCAGTGGTGAATCGGAGTATGCATGCCCTTCTGCAGGCTGTATTAGTGTCCCTGCATATTTCAGAGTATCAGAATGTATTGTTGTGGACATCTGTGGTGAGCTAACTGCTTTCTTTCGTAACCTACAATCACATTTGTCCTTCTGCTTGCTCTTAATTCAAGTTGAAGCAACAGCAGGAGGCAAAACAGACTAGTACTCATGTGTGTCCTTGTTGTGTGATATGGCGTGTGGCACTAATGTTATTACAGAGTGTATGCATAATGTTCTTAGGAGTGTGTGTTTGTGTGTGCTCATCTATGCTTCTAATAGCTTTTTGCAGCAGATGGGAGCTATGATGTTGAAGCTTTTAATTGTGTGTCTGAGGGGTTGATTGGCATATGTAGGTGTGAGTTTTCATCAACTGGGATTTAAGCTCAAAGTTAGCAAAAAAAACATGAAGTCATGCAGGGCATCATAATTAGACTTTATAAGTAAGACTAGGTGGAAATGTGTCTTGATACTCTGCAACAAAATTCTACAATTATTAACTTAACAGATGAGGAAGTGGACGTTATGCAACATGATTAAAAAAAACATGGAATTCCCCTAATGCTTGCAATCAATTAAATATAATCGTCTTTAATAAAGTCAATCATACTATTTTTTCCCTGACCCAAACAACCACTTTCAGTTCAGCTGCAGTCTTGTCAGTTTTCCACTCTTAGTTTGTGGTAGCACTATTTCCAATACCTGTGATATCAGAGTTTTTGAAAATAAGTTTATATAAACTTAAGTTAAAATTGTCCAAATCCAAGGAAAATTAATCAAATTCGAAGAAGCATCTGTTCTTATATCATTAAAGTCACGGTGTACTTCTGATGTACTGTTGCTCTCCAGAAAGCATGAGTATTCAATGACTTGGTAATATCAATGTTCAGCTGTGTCAGGATACACAATATAACCTCTGATGTGATGTTACCACCTTTTTGTAAATATTAATTTAAAAATAAAGGATAAACCAAATGTGGGGTTGCACAGTGGTAGCAGTGGGCAGGAATACTGCCTTGCAAGAAGAAGGTTCTGGGTTTGAATTCTGGCCCGGGGTCTTTCTGCATGGACTTTGCACATTCTCCCTGTGCATGTGTGGGTTCTCTTCGGGTACTCCGGCTTCCTCCCACAGTCCAAAAACATTAGTCTGACGTAGTCCTACTCAATTCTAGTCAGAATA